ACCAAGAAAAACATATTCACCCGGTTCGGCCTACCCGAGTCCATTGTCGCAGACCATGGGAAGTAGTTCGATTGCAAGAAATTTGTTGAGTTTTGCGATGACAACGGGGTCGTCCTGCGGTTCTCCTCAGTGGCATACCCGCAGGCAAATGGCCAAGCGAAAGCAGCCAACAAGAGTATTCTCCACGGGTTGCACACCCGATTAGCAGGCGCCAAGGGCAAGTGGGTGGAAGAACTACCAAGTGTACTGTGGGCGCATCGCACAACCTACAAAACAGCCACGGGAGAAACACCCTTCGCCCTAACTTACGGAAGTGAGGCGGTCATCCCGGTGGAAGTCAACACCCCAAGCTACTGCGTTGGCCAGTATGACCCAAGCAGCAATGGCAAAGCAAGAATTGATGAGCTACACATGACAGATGAGGTGAGGGAAGTAGCGGCCATCCGGCTGGAGAAAATGAAGCGCCAAGTGGCTCGGTACTACAACAAGAAAATGCGGGCGCATGGAATCACCGAGGGCGCCCTAGTTCTCAAGCGTGACTTCCGCCCAGACGCCCGTGAAGGGAAGTTAGCACCAAAATGGAAAGGGCCATACCGAGTTTGAGAGGTGGTGGGACCAAGTACGTTCAAGCTAGAGCATACCAGCGGTAAAAGCGTGAAACGAACTTGGAATGCGCAGAACCTGTGGGTTTACCATGAGGGCGCCTCCGTTCGATAAGGGCCAAGAAGAGAAAGGATGGTCGTAGGCAAGAGCATTGTTAGTGTTAGAGACAGTTGTGTAAGGCGCCGTGTTGTGTTCAAAAGCGCTCGTAAAAGTAGCGCCGTGTTGTGTCCAAAAGCGCCCCGTGTTGCAGCGCTCGTTTGAGACTTATGTTTTCAATTCCTCTTTCGTAAGCAGTAAAAGCGCCCTAATTTCGCGCCCGGAAATTTTGTGAAGTACAAAGCGCCCAAAAAATTGCGCCCTATCGTAGGATTGTCAGTTGGTACGTGAGTAAGTAAAGCGCCCAAGTTTGCGCCCGTCAAAACCAAAGCGCCCTCTATTCTGGGCCCAACATCAGAACAATCAATGCGCCCACATTTGCGCCCTCGGGACATAGCAATCAGTGATAAAGGAAATTGGCCTCCGAAGTTTAAAAGCGCCCACACTATTCGCGCCCAAACACAACGCTAACTCAATACGAAAATAAACACAAGTATGGTCGCAACATCCAAGAAGAACATTTTTATTATCCAAAAAAAAAAAAAAAACTACAGAGGAAAACGGAACGCCCAGCTACACTCACTCAACGCCTGAGTTGGCATCACCTGCGCTATGCGCCTTCGGGGAAGGAGAGACAGGAACAGAGTCATCTTTAGGCTCCTCCACATTGGCTGATTGGGGCGCATTCCCCGTGTCCGGTGGAGTCTCCAACTCCCCAATCACATACTCGGCGATTTCAGTAAAATCCCAAGTAAGATCAGGGTGATCCTTCACCAGTTTGCCGTGGAAGATCTGCAGACCAGACAAGATAGCACTGGCACTCATGTTCCTCCCAGTCTCGGACTCCTCGAATGTGTCCAGAGAGTGGCGCAAATTGGTGATCTCCTTCCGCGCCTCCTTCAGCTCCTTCTTGCACTCCTTGTAGGCGTCCTGCCATTTCTTCTTCTCCTCTTTGAGGATGGCAATCTCGCTGGCCTGGGCGCCCGTCCCCTGCGCCAGCGCCTCCTTCTCAGCTTCAAGGGTGGTTGACTTATTGCGCTCCTCGTCGAGAGCTCCCTGAAGTTGCGACACTTGCAAGGCCGCATTCATTTGCGCCTCGTCGCACTCCTTCACAAGTTGTTCACGACGCTCCGTCGCGTTATCAAGGTCGCGCTGCAACTGGGAGGCCGAAGAAGAGGCTTCGAGCGCCTCTCTTTTTGTTTCATTTAGGCGCCAGGCGCCTCTTTCAGCAAAGAGAAGAATCTACACACACAAAACACAAATAGTTAGTACTTGTGCAAAATTTAACAAAACCCAACGATCAAGAACACAAACAACGGTGAACGTACCTTGGCGCCCACTTTCGCCAATTCAGCAAATAGGTGATCCCCGTTCACCTCCGACGGCATTTGCCACATTTTGGCAGCCGTAATTGGCATGCCCATGGCACAGCCTCGGTCAACAGCTACCAGCGGGGAGCATGGCAGCTCAATGCGCCCAACATCGGCGCGTGTGGGCTGGAAAATGGGGGGGCGCCCGTCGGGGCCTACCCACTGCCCCTCTTCGGTAAGATGATACTCGAAGGCGCCCCCTCCCCCACTTCGGGCGCCAGCGCCCATCTTCTCCTTCCCCTTGTCAGCCTTCTTGCTGACATTGCCCAAGGGGGACCCAGCCCGCTTCCCCGTCTAACTAGGGGCTCGGGCTCCTCTTCCCCGGAATTCCCCTCCTGCTCCGCAGGCTCTGTAGTGGGCGCCTCTACGTACGGCGCCTCCTCCTCCTCCGGTGCTGAAGAGGCCACGCTGGCAGTCTTCGTGGTACCCCTCTTCACTGCCCTCTTCTTCTTTTTCTTGGGGGCAGCAGTAGGCGCCTGCGGTTCCGGCGCAGCCGGAACAGGCGCCTTGGGCCTTGGTGGTGGAGGCGCTCCCCCAGCCATGGCAGCAAGGCGGCTCTTCATGAGCTTCGCGATGCTGGTGAAGTCTGATCCTGCACATCGTTAAATCAGTTAGCACCAAAGCAAACATTCATCGACAACAGGACAAGGCAAGAAAATCGTTAGCACAACATATGGGCGCCTACGAACCATCATCATAATACGCCTCCAAAATAGGAGGACGATTCACGGTCTTGCGCAAATTTACGCGCGTCTCGCAAATCAGCGGGGCGCCTGCCTTTTCTGTTGGAGACAACTTCACGTCTTTGTTGAACTCCTCCACACTCCCCAGCGCCCACTCTCTCAAGAAGGCGCCCCCACTCTCAAAAAACGAGTCCCGATATGCCTTCATGAAGAAAAATCCGTTGAACCAGCTGCGCCCCAACTTCGGGCACTTCTCTACAAAATGATAAGGGCGCCCTTTCCTCTTCTGAAGTGACAAGCAGTTATCATGAGCCGCCATCTTGAAAAAATATCGGAAAAGATTGAAGGTAGGCTCCACGTTATGCTCGCGGCATCGCAGCTTGAAGAGGATGACCACCATGATCACCGAAGGAGACAGGCGCCCCAATGGGCAGCCACAGGTCGTCATAATCCCCTCCATGATGTGGTCAAGGGGGAACCGCAGCCCAAAGCGGAAGTACTCTTGATACACCCCTATCCACTTAGGCCCACAGACGCCCACTCGTGCGATAGGGGAGGGAGGCGCATACCACCAATCACGGGGCAGTTCGAGGCTGGTCACTAGCTCATGAACACGAGCCAAGGTGACGGTAGAGGTGTGCTGTGGACCCGCAACGTCGAAAGGCAACGACTCCGTCTCCGTCGGGAGATGATCAGGCGGAAACGAGTTCTCCCACACGGATATCTTGTAAGATCCATCGGCGGGCATGAATCCCGGGGTGGAGGCGCTTGATGGACCCGCGGACGTCGACCCAGGCGCCCTCTCTAAACCAATAAACGACCCAGGCGCAATATGACCGCAGAGTAAGTGACGCCCTACCCTAGAGAACTAGAACAAAAATAAGGAACGCAACTAGTAGAGCAAGAAAATTCCTTACCACTTCGACTGGGGCGCCTTGCCTCGCCGCCAGCGTTAGAGGCGCCTGGCCTAGTCTCTTCACCAACAGGGGAGGCGCCCTGGCCGACAACTTTGTCTCCTTGCGAAGTCATGCTTGGACGTATGGACGGAAAAGTTGACGAAAGCAGAAGAATCTAGAGAGATGTTAGAGAGAATCTAGAGAGAAGTCAGAGCAACAATCTTAGAGAGAGGCGAGAATGTGGAAAGTGACAAGGAATGATGGGGAAGGGGGGTATTTAAAGGAAAGGAAGAGCAGGAGGGTAGATGCGTGTAGCGTGCCACGTGTCATCGTCAAGGGCGGGCTTTTGAGCTTCCCCCCACCTTTTCCTTTTCTGATTGGAATTTTGGCAAAAAAAAAAAAGGCCAAAATTCAAACAAGGAAAACGTGGGGTCAATATCAAACGCCCACCCATGAGGGGGGCATAAGGGGTTGAGGCGCCTTAAATCCGGCGCCCGAAAAGGACTACAGAAAGGTCGAGGCGCCCAGGAAATCGGACGCCTAAGTAGGGACAAGGCAACCACCGAGTCAGCTAGGCGCTCAGCAGCAGAGCAATGAGCACCTAGCTGGGGGGGGGGGCAATTGTTGGGGGTATAATGAGCAAAGCCCAAGTGGGGGGCAAGGCCTAGGCAAACTTGGGCTCCCAAACAGCCCAAGTGGGGGGCAAGGCCCAAGTAAAGGGGATGTCACATGAAGACAAGGCACAAGAGGCCAAGGGAGGCCAGGCTGTCATGTGGTCCAGCGCCTGCGGGCGCCTGTCACGTGCCAGGAGTCTGACAAGGTGGTTAGGATGTCTGGCCAGAAAGAGACAAAAGCATTGAATGAGGGTAGGGAGGCAGAGAGGATCAACCTCGAACTCAGGTAAGTATAAATAGAGGCAGTTGGTAGCATTTACGCAGGTTGGATTCTCTCACACAAACTCTAGCTTTGAGACTCTACTCTCTTCCTGGAAACTAACTTGGGCGTCGGAGGATTAACGGGCCAAGGCGCCCCCTCCTTGTTAGTGTGTGCAGATAGGCGCCTGGCGAAAGAGGATTCAGGGGAATCTGGCAAAGGGTATCAAGTCTCAAACAATATATATATATATATATTGTATTAATATTGTCCATGTTATCAATTATTATCTTCAATATCAATATTGACATTGTGCTGATTTTATATTTCGTATTTACTTTTTTAATTTTGTTAAACAACTGAATGTTCAACCGACATTCATGTTTCAATTTTTGTAATCTTATTAAAGTACATAATATCAAGTGAGTTTAATGTTTTTAAATTTCTTATACGAATTGAAACAATAATTTTATCTAACTTTAAAATGAAAAACTTTATTTTGAAAAACTATGTATTATATAATATAATAATTATTCAAGTGGATTGGGTGGAGTTCAGATTTAGTCGGTCGGTCATAGGTTAGTCGGGTTCGGGTCAATCAGGTTGGGGTAATTGGGTTGCGAGTTTAATCGGGTTTCGGGTCAATTGAATTGCGGGTCAGTCGGATTGTGGGTCAGTCGGGTAGCGGGTCGGGCGGGTTGCGGGTCAATTGGGTTACGAGTTGACCCTATAATGTAACGAGTGCAAGAAACAGGACGCGGAAATTGACAGATTGCGAATTAATAATTAAAAAATGCGACAATTTGAAATTAAATGTGCAATTGGTTCACCAGCCAGCCTCATTCGCCCTTCAATACTTGAGATTCGCAAGCTTGAATCCCCATTCGTAATCTTCACAATTCATAATTACAGGAGCAGGGCCACCTCCTGCCGCGTCGCCATGATTTGCACTATTGGTATCATAATAAGGATGGAAATGAAAACACGGCTCCGGCGAAACCGCACGCACGCAAGCTGGCTCATTCCGCTTCGCCTCATAGTCGCCAGGATTCTGCAAATACCAGGGCCTCAACCCAGCCAGACTATGCGCCACGTACCCAAACGTCGAGAAATGGCTCGTCACAAGCACGTCGCACATGCTCAGCAGATATATATCCACAAGCGCCTTCACATTGTGGGCGCCGTTGTCAGTCTCTTGCCATCCTTCGTGGCTCGTTTGATAAACCCCAACCGCCGCTCCTCCTCCTCCCTCCCCGTCGTCAGCCGCCGGCCTCATCCAGTACATGTCCTTCAGTTCCGTGTAGAACTCCCCCAGGAGCGATGCCACAAGAACCGCTTTCAGAGTCCTGCTTCTTGTAGCGTAGGAAGTAGTATTGGTTTCGTTTTGCTGTAATCGCGGCAGGATTCCCGACACCACCTGCATGCATCTCAGGATGTGCGGCAGCATGAGGGAAGCAGGGGTTTTGTCAGGGTAGAATACCCTGACCTGGAGCCCGATCCTCTGCTCCGCCTTCGCCAGGTAAGTGTCGTAGAATCTGGCGACGCGACCCCAGACACGATTCGTCGGGCTAAACAGGTATCTCCCCACGTGCTGAAAAACCGCCTCCTTGTCGGGAAACAGTCGGTCCAGTTCCGTCCTGAAGCCGGGCATCACGAAGAAGTAAGGGACGAAGTGCTGGTCCGATCTCAAGACCAGCCAGGGGACATTCGTCAGGAGCTTCTGAGTTTCGTCTCTGTAGAAAAGCATGTCGTAATTGTTGTCTCCGGAGAGGTAAAGGTAGAGGAGCGCGGTAGCTTGTACAGAAATTTCCTCATCATGCTTCTTCTCGCTCTTCTCCAACAAATTCCCCAGGCTGTAAACTCTCTTGAATTTTTCACTGTTGGACCGGCCCTTGAAAGTGAAGTCGCCTGGGAGGAGCCAGGTCGCGGCATCGGGGAACGGCTCGCAGAAGAGACCGGACATGGAATCGTCGAAATCGACGAGGAGGACTCGATCGGTGAGGAGAGCGTAGACGAAAGACGAGGCCAGGCTCAGCATTCTGTTCCCCAGTCCGTTGACCGGCACCCATACGATGTATCTGCAATCGGACGCTAGGTCTTCGCTTCTTGTCAGCAGGGCGTCAGGGGAATTGTTGACCCTGACGAGTTCCTGAGAGTTTCGTAGGAAGGATTCGGAGTGGGGATCGCAGCGCTTGTGACGCTGCTCGTAGTCTCGGATCCTGGAAAGGAGGTAGGGAGATGGAGGGGATTTGTTGCTTGAGTTTGAGGATGAGGAGCTCCTCCATTGCGGTAGTTGTTGCCTGCTGGCGCAGGATGGTTGATCCGAAGAAGAAGAAGAAGAAGAAGAAGAAACGAGCGAGGGTTGGAGAGGGACGATCCTGTCTCGTGCCGAGGGAGTTGGAACTCGGTGCTGTGTGAATCGGGGGTCGATGATGATGAGTAGAAGAGAAGCGGCGATCATGGCGGCTACTACTACTGTTGGACCGTGGCGGGCGTATCTGGAAGTTTCCATATCAAATTAGTTTTGTTGTTATCTAAGAAGTGCCTTAGCGGTCTTCCACAGCCTCACTGGAGCATGCTCATATACACAGCTAGAGGGCAATGAGAAAGAGAGAGAGAGACGCAATGATAGAATGCAAACTATCTTTGGTTTACTTCTCCTGAAAGAAGAATGATAGAAACTGGGAGCTAGGTAGCAGGTTGTGCATAGTTTTAAGGTGCTAAGTTTTAACCAACCCAATTCAATATGATAGTGAAGCACAATATTGGCTGGCTAGAGGGTGGATGATAGGAGTGGCCATTGGTGCGGTCAAACCGTTTCAGTCGCAAAATTGTTTTTACTGTCGAGCCAAAGCACACTGCGAGACTTGCGGTCTATTTTTTTAGCGGCTCACGATTTGCAGTTGGATTAAACCGCAAACCGCAAATAAACACCGACAAACATATTACTCCATCGTCACTTCCGGATTCATATTCCATCAACTAATACACAACCAGCTGCTGCTGCCGCCTACTTCTTCATCTTCCCAGAATCCCAGCCAAAGGTAAATAAATAACAAATTGAATTATTGGAAACATTTTATACTTTGAATTCTCGGGAACCAAACAGAACAAACTAAAACAGAGGTGCGAGAAACAGAGTATGCAATTAAATACCTCGAAGAACAACAGTGCATCTACTACACTGATAGATGGAGAAATTTGGGTAGCTCGGCGAGGAGATTGTTGCACTTTGGCTAGCGAACTGAACGAGCTTTTGACCCTTCCGCCATTAACTTAATCAAATATAATTTCCAAGAGATGATGAATTTGACTTTGAAAGGCAACAAAATTTCCAGAGAAAAAAGGAGATGACGCAAGGACCGGGAAATGTCGAAGGGAAGAGGCAATGTGTGCTTGTAGGAAATGAGAGGATACTCTCCGTTCGGCGGTAGTAATTTTATTTATTCAATGTATAATTCATAATAAATTGCGGTCAAACATGCGATGCAGTCCAAATCGCTCCAAACCGCTAATATATGCGATTTGGTTGACCGCACAAATAGTATTGCGGTCCAATTGAGATGCGGCACGGTGCATTTTATATCATTATGATGCGGTGCGGTCAATGCACACTTCTAGTGGATGAGATATCAAAAAGACAAGAAAGTTTTGCAAGTACACATTGGTACTGGCGGTTTGGTTTTCTGAAAGAGAGATATTAATTGTAGTCCTGAAAAAAATTATTTGTAATCCTAAAATAAAAAATGTGAATTAAAACTCATCACTTATAAATACACTCAGTGCACACATTTCATATAATCTATTCAGATGTCGCCGACAATGGTTCGACGTCCAGCCGACACTTCAACATTAGGTTTGCTATGATGGAGGGGAACCCACAAAGTCTTATATTTGACTTTTGAGGGAGCTACAAAACATGCTTGGAGATCGCATACCCAATGCGTTTGTAACTGACAATGAGGGTGGATTGATTGCCTCCATTCATCATGTCTTCTCGAATCGACTCACTTGTTGTGTATATGACACATAAGGCAGTACATTAAAGCTAATATGATGAATCTCGGGATATGAAAAGAAGTTGCGCAAGAGTGGTAAATGGTTATTGGAAGAAAGTGACGGAAGCAACCTTGCCACATGCTATGATCGAGGAATGAGAGAGTTACAAACTGGCTCCGCCCTTGGGCACATGGGCACTATTCTTTGGAATCATTACGTGGTTCACAACAACGTTTAACCTCTGATTCTTCGGTGCATGTATTGGGCGAAAATGATATAATCGACAAAGATGTTGAGATTTTTAATGGTGCGAATGGGAATGAAAGGGGCATGAGTCAAGATACGCTCTTGGAGTAACATGTTGGTAAGATGTTGGAAGGTGAAACTTCTAATTTGCTCAATTTGATGTAATATGTGGGTAATCAGTTAAATTGGTTTGTATAACCAATCGAACCAAACCAAACCAAGTTGACCGAAATCGCCCCATGTGTCGGTTGGAATAACTCAACTGTTCCAACTTCCATGGCTCGAATTGATGCAATGGTTGGGGGTGCAACAACCCACCCGAAGAGTTGCATCCCTCTGTACGCACCCCTTAATTTCTACCAATAGCACCTAACCCCTATGGTTTTGATAGATGTTTTTCCCATACCAAAACTCTGCCAAAATCCAAATTAGTTTTCTCGCCGTTTCGCTGCGTTCGATGGTTTCCGAGGTTTCAGGTACTGCTATGCCAGAAAGGTACGTCCTTTCTATCCTAGGAGGAATCATTCTGTAACCTTGAGTACTAGAGGGGAATAAGATTCATGAGAAACATTGAATATTGTCGAATAGGACGATATATGTGTTTGCATGATTTCATGAACTTATACATGTATTTTGTTAATTTTATGATATTGTTTGTTACTTATGCTGCAAGAATTAGTATACGTGAACCATTTCTATAACACCAAGATAGGGAAGATTTTCAAAGCTGTTGTATTGACACCAAGGTTGTCAAACCAGGGTCGAAGCGGCTGGTCAGATCAGGTACGGGCGAAACCGAGCACTAAAAGGGCCTGAGCCAGCCATAATTAGAACTGGCCAGTAACCGGGCAAAACCGGGGTCTGACCGAACTTATTCGGCTACCGGCTATGAGGAAAGTGGCATCGTTTTTGGTTGGTCTGGAACTTCTTCCAAATTCAATCTAAACCCTAGAATCACATTCTCATCCGTTCATTCCATTATTTCGTTGAGCGCAGCCAAGAGAGGAGTAGAGCCTCGCCGCCAGCGCTTCCAACCCCACGCCTTGCCGGCGCTCCTCGTCTCGACCTAGATCCCCGCCTCTCCCCTTGCTGATCGTCGGCGATCCCCTTGGTCTTCGGCATCTCCCCAACCCAACATCTTCCCTCCGTCCTCCCGGTGCCCGCGTCTTCATGGCCCAGAACTTCAATCGCGGTGGTAGGGCTGCAAATGAGCCAAGCCGCTCGCTAGCAACTTGGTTTTCGAATCGGAAAAAAACTCGTTCGACACTCGACTCGTTGTTTAACAAGCCAACTCGCGAGCCGACTCGTTAGTAAACGAGCCAAACTTGAGCTAGGCCATGCTCGGCTTGATAAGCTCGTGAGCTAGCTTGACTCGGTGGCTTGTTGAGTTAAGCTCGCGAGCTGGCTTGTTTAAAGCTTGTGGAAGGATTAATTACTCTTCTGAAAATGAAAATTATCTTGTTAATAAGGATGTGTATGGAAGTTAGATGTTATTTTTAGTTTCCAGTGTTCTTTTATCATTTTAAATTGCTAATGTTCTTATTTGTACACATTTTTCAGAAAGAATGGTTTCAATTCGAGCTTATCTTGAGTCGAGCTTGTACTCAGCTTGACAAGCTGTGTTAATGAGCATTTATCGATCTCTATCAAACCGAGCTTGAGCTGGATTATTTTTAATCGAGTCGAGCTCGAGCTCGAGCTGGATGATCAAAATTCGAGTTCGAGCCGAGCTCGAGCTAAAAAATTTATAAATGAGCCGAGCTCAAACTAAGCAAAAACTCGACTCGGCTCGTTTGCAGCCCTAGCCGGTGGCGCACCAGCCCTCGCCGTCGACTTCTCCCTTTTCCTTTCTTCCAAAATCAAAAACCCAGAAATCAATGAAAGAACCAAGTTTCATAACCTTAAAACAACCTGAAAACAGAGAAACCCCTAAAAAAAATCGACATGCAATGATAGAAGGTTGATCTCGAACCTTCGTCGCCGTCATTGACACCATCATCGGAGTAGATTGTCATCTTTCCTTGGAAAAAGTAGATCGAATATGGGGAGAAATGGAATCGAGATTGAAAAAGGAAGTAGACGAAGAGAATAAGGTGCTCGTTGGTTGTCTTTTTGAGAAGAGGTTGATCGAATTGAAGAAGGGATTGGTTTTTTGCCTCACTGTTGTTTGGGCCGTAAGTCTATGTACAGAGGCGGATTATTGGGCCTTCTGTAGGGAATCTAGTTACCGCCTTGGCTCGTTTATTGTTTCATGGAGATGCTCATGGGGTTCTCGAATACCCCCCCCCCCCCCCACCACCCCAAAAAAAATATATCCTCAACATTGACTTAACCCGATTGAACCCCGATCTAACCATTAAACTTCAAACCACTTGGCAATCTGACTTGATGACTTAACCCGGTTTGACAACCTTGATTGACACCCTTCACTCTCATGAGGATGGTGCTTTATCATGCAATGAGGACATTCTCCACGACATTCACGCAAAACATACAAGTAATCAAGAGATCAACTCCACTTAAAAATTTGTAAGCTAAATGAAGTATAGATAAAAAATAATAAAAAATTAACATAGAAACTTATATTGCATTCAATCACTATCAAATAACAACACTAGGCTAAATTCATGATCTCATCCAAAAAACTAAAGCATAGCTCATGTGAGATGAGAGAGCAAACAAAGAAGATGAAAAAGAAACAATCCCAGTGACGAAGAACATCATGATTCCTCTCAATCGTGTCAAAATTGAATTATTGGAAAAACTCTTTTTATGCTACCAATTCGTGTTTCATACTATAGGGAAAGTTCGGCAAAGATCCCCTTAAGTTGGGGGAAGCCTTTCATTTATAGGCAATTAAATGGTGGGAGCACGACCTTACACAGATTATGCTAGAGCCCATGCCCTATGTACTGTGAGAACAAGTAATACTAAATATAAATTCAACGGAGTAAAACCTTAGCATGACATTTTCATTGGTTCTACTTCAAATAAGAAGAATAATAGAAAAATGAAACGGAGGGAAATTAATCAAGTCCTCACAACTCTATTCTTGCACATGGGCACTATATATACTTTGTTATTCATGAGCTTATTTCATAAATCCATTCTTTTCTTCATAGTTCCTCCTCAGATTCCAATATTCACCCACCACCCCTGGAAAAAGAACATAAAATGGATATGCAATTAGCCAAATCTAATTGGTGGATGGATACCAAAATTGTTTCTAAATTGCTCTTTTCTTCACAACTATTTTCTAACATAGCGATGTTTTTCTTACTTGGCAGTGGCGACAAATGTCGCCATACATACTAGCAAGTAGCAACACATGTATGTTACTTTTATGGAAAGCTACATTTTGTTGACGTGGCAGTGACGAGCCACATTTCGGAGGAGATGCTGAAAGTACTTTTCGCTTTTATCTTTTAGGTTCAAAACATTTGCTTATTCAAGAAAACTTGTAATGAGCTACACTTAATTTAATATTGTTGCATCTAATGTCATTATTGTTGTATCTGATGACATGATGACATAAATCTTTAGATGTATTAGACAAATTTTTTTAGGAGTTTTGATATGTGGATTGACATATTCACACATAGCGTGTGACATACTCGTACAACTCATTTGATATATTCATGCAATACATTTGGAGTCTTCACGTAGCATATGTTTAACGAGTGTTTTGAATATTCTTACGATTGTTATTAAGAAAAAGGCATAATACATTTGTATAACCAAAACTTTCGAATTTGTGCCAATAATAGCCAAATTTGGAGAAATACCACTTATAGCCAGCTTTTAAACTTGTTGTATGACAAATATAGCCATTTTCGTTAGATACTTTAACGGTGTTATTAACACCGTCAACTTATTTGTTGGTTTGCTGACTAGGCTGCTAACTCGGCGAACACGTCAGCGCCACATAAGCAAATAGTGACACATCATATTTTAAGTTTATTAAATAATTACACATCATAAATTAATTAAAAATAACATTAATTTTTTCCCCTTCATCCAATTGACCGCTCATTCTTCCCCTCCCGTTTCTGAATTCTTCGATTCGAGACAAAAATAAATTGAGGATCAGCCCAAGATCTGCGAGCTCTGCGTCGGAGCACCGGACGTTTATTGCAAAACCGACGATTCTTTCCTCTGCTTCCACTGCGATGCCATAGTTCACAACGCCAACTTCCTCGCTCCTGTAAAACCGACGTCTTGCTCTGCCGGAGCTGCCGCTGCATCACCCTAATTCAATTTTCGGTCTCATATCCCTTCCGCACTCCACCGCCTGGGCCTCCTGCCCTTCGTCGGAGGTGGAAAGCGTTTCTTCGGAGCAAGAGATGGACTCGATCTCCTGATGCTCTTCCTCCAATCCGTCCGAATCGGGGAGCTCGACCTTGAAATTCGTCCTTCACTGTGACGAGACGATGGACCAGCAGCGAAGGCCGAGGAGCAATAGCGCGGCTAGATCTGGACTTTGCGAGGGAAAGATCGGGGTCGTTTTCGCAAATTGATGCAGGAAGCTGGGGGTGGACGGGGACCCGGTGGAGTCAAGGGCGGTACAGAGTCAAAGGTAAGGTCTCCAGATCTGCTACCATCGTTCAAAGAAGCTTTAACCTAATCTGCAGTAGTCGCCATTTTTATTTGTTGGTCATCGGATTTAGATTTACGGGTGTGCGACGAGAACTCATTTGGATGGAGGAAGGGGAAGGGTCTTGGGCCACATCATTGTCTCCATAACTCCATCCAATCGATTTTGGGTTTTTGAAGATGATGGAGCAGAGCGAATAGGGACGGCTGCGGAGGGTGGAGATATTTGTTGGGTCTTTTTTGTGTGCAAGTGGAGGTTTTATTAAATAGTCTTTCTTTTAATTATTATTTTTGTGTTCATTAAATTTATTTTTTATTTATTTTTCATTAATCTACGTGGAGTGTAGTTGATGAAATGTCGCCAATTCATCAAAGCCGTCAGTCCAGTCAGCATGTAAGTTCACACCGTTAAAGAATTGGCTGATTTGGCTGATCTGGCGATATATTCATACAGATCTATATGAAATGTCGCCAATTCATCAATGTCGCCAATATATTCATACAGATTTCCGTCAAAAAAAAAAAAGAATTGGACGGAAGTGGCTATAAATGGTATTTCTCCAAAAATTGGCTATTATTGGCAAAAACGTGAAAGTTTTAGCTATACAAGTGTATTTTACCTAAGGAAAATGATCTTAAAAAACATATGTTGCTGGTTTAACTAGCGATTTTAGTCCTATTAGACAAGCGACAAGCGACATTTCTTTGCCACCACCGCCAAATCAGCAAAAACCCAGCTATATTCGGAAATTTGATTTCATATACTGCTAGATTGGAAATTAATTGCAGGGTGGTGCTATCTTGGGTTTTATTCCGTAAGTATAGTTTTAAGGATGATAATCTAGCTTATGATTTTTTTAGTAAAATAAGTATTTGAAAATTCGGGCCAAGCATACATATAGATAAATAAAATGCATGCGCTTATCATAAATATCGCGCATATACGTACCAACACCCAGTGCGATGAGGTTTCCAAGCAAAGGAGGTCGACAGGTTCAATCTAGACTCAGCAGGTGCAGACGAGAAGCGCTTCCAATCTTGAAGGATAACCGTGAGTGCTTGAATTTTAGACTCTAGGCCGATGCAGCATATTGCATGCATGGTGCAACCCACTTTGAGATCCTTAATCGGCTGACAGATCCCGCCAAAGTGGTCCGTGTCAAGGAGCTTAATCTGCAACCCGATGTCATTGAGGAAAGGCTCGAATTTGATACTGTTGAGCACGTCTTGCTCTTTCACTCCTGGGAACCTATCCCTTGAGTCATACCAAAACTTGTAGAACCGACGAGTTCTGTCATTGGATCTCACGAAGATAAACCCGGTGTTGATGATGTGGCGGAGGTCAGAGTCGTCCCCGGAGTAGTAATCGCAAGCCGCTTGGAAATCGACTTGTTCGTGCAAGTGTGGGAACGGATTTCGTAACCACACAATGTCTGCATCCTACAAAAGCAAGGTCATCACTTAAGTTATTCGGACAAATCTAAGCCATTATAATAGATAAAATACAAACACAACTGTTGGTCATTAAGTAATGTCATTTTACAACCGTTGATCAGTAAGTCACGTCATATTTGTGAACTTTGTACTTATAGTATCTTGGTCTCGTCGTCTCGAGCTATTGACACAAACCACAATATGTACTTTAATTTTTGTGTAGCCATTGTTGTATTACTCGTAGTGTATTCAAATTTTGAGGATTAGACACGTTCTTCGATCCACGACCTTAAAAAATGCGTGAGAAAAATCATTTTTGTAATAATTATGAGTGAGTGCATTCAACGGTTGTGAATCGCGAAGCCGGGTTCAACCATAGGCGAGAGCATAAAATTTAGAATAAGAGCATGAAGGTGAGAGGTGTCCTTTCCCCCCCTTTTTTTTATACCGTGAAAAGGAAGTCAATCCCTAGGTTTAAAACGGAGGTGTAGAACTCCGTTCTCAGCCAGACGACGCGCATGTACTCTTCGCTCTTGCTTGTAGCGGCGTTCCCCGTGAAATTGACGCCAGGAGTCGTCAGCGCATAGCAGTGCGGATGCACGGCTTGGCAGTATTGGTGCGCCTTGTGGTCCAGCGACACGATCACCAAATGCCGCAACAGTTCCTTAGTCCCGTCCCCGTTCCAGAAGCTCTCCAGAAACAGATCCAGAAGCGACCCTGGCTCTGCCCAAGCCCTGTTTATGGTGGTCAGGATCACCATCTCCGACGGCGGCAGCCTTCCTTCACCGACGGCCGTCGTCGTCATCTTTGCACGGTTCAGCACTTTAATTAGTTCTGGGTCCTCGCTGATTTCACGCTGCTGCTGCATCTTTGTGTCCTCCTAATAACACCGCGAAGCACCTCAAATTACCAATCAAATCACAGTTGTTATATTGACTGTATTCCTCTTTAATCTCTTGATATATCAGTAACTCACCGGATTCGGAGGAGTAGCCGGGGAGAAGGAACCTGGAGGCGGCGGCAGGAACCAAGGCGAAATTGAGGAAGAGTAGAGCGAAATAACGGAGAGCAGAAGGCAGCACAATCCGATTACGAGCAAGCAGGCGGCGGCGGCCGAGATTTCCAAGCTACGAAGTCGGGAGATAAAATGGCCGAGGGAGTAACAACTCCTTGTGTGCTCACCGATGATGCCGTCCCGATTGTTATGATCGAGCTCACCGGCCATCTTTCTGCGGCCTATAATTCCTGTTCTTGGTCTTTTTTGGGCCTATTTGCTTTCTGTGACTTAACAGGAAGGACAATGGCTGCCCCGTTTTGATATACAGATTTCTTTTTTTTTATGCATTGAAAATTGACCCAAGAACTGAGCTTGATCATACATTGAAAATTGCATCAACATCAACAGGCGCTTTTGGCGGTACTGCAGCAGGAGTCCTCTCCGGCAATGGCAGTCGGTTGTCGAGTGCTATCAAGAAAGACAGCTAACTATTACCAGTAGCAACTTTTTTAAACACTCTCATTTCATGCTTCATTTTCTTAATTTAAAGAAGTAAGTGTGACTAAGTATTATCTGCTTAGATCCGCAAGAGTTTTTATCATATAATGACTGTTGATCATGAAAGGGAAAGAAATATCATTACGTCTCAAATTTAGAGACCTGGGACATGACACCAGAACGACGACAACAACGACTTCACACAGTCGATGTTCAGCACGGTAATAAGCAAACACAAAAGTAGAAAGTATGGAGTCAATTCAGTTTTCACCATGCAAAATGGAGAGCTTGAATCCAAGGATAGTGGCTACTGTGATGACCGCTTCTCTTCTGCTCATCATCGCCTACTCAATCAGCCCATACTCACTGCTTCTCCAACGACGCAGCAGCAGCAGCAGAAGCATCAATCCCACAATCCAACAACCAGTAGCAGGAGGAGGAGGAGGAGAAGAAGTACTATCTTCAGAACAATATTCCTGCGTAAGCATGCAACAGTTACAGATCATCAGGAGCTCATATTCGTCGTCGAAGCCATCTCCTTTCCTCCTTTCCAGGCTCAAAGACTACGAACACCATCACAAGCGCTGCGATCCCTTCTCCGAGTCCTTCAATCGAAGCTCCCGGGAACTTATCAGGGTACAGAATTCCCCTGATTCCCTTGTGACAAAACCTGAAGAAAAAGAAGACGTCGAACTTGATTGCAGATACATCGTGTGGACACCGGTGAATGGTCTGGGGAACAGAATGCTCAGCATCTCTAGTTCATTTCTCTACGCTCTCCTCACCAACCGTGTCCTGCTCGTGGATTTCGGCCCCGACATGGTCGACCTCTTCTGCGAGCCGTTTCACAACTCCACCTGGTTCCTCCCTAGAGACTTCACTTTCAAGGGCCGAGCCAATACCCCTGAGTTCAGGGAAACTTACAGCCTCGGAAAACTGTTGAGGAGCGAGGAGGAGGAGCAACTGGAGAAGGAGATGCCATATGTTGCGTCCCTCCTTCAGCTTTTCCTTTCCTACGACAATGACGATTACGACAAGCTTTTCTACAAAAGTGAGACTCAGCAACTCTTGAAGAAAGTCCCCTGGCTAGTTCTGAGATCGGACCAGTATTTCGCCCCTTACTTTTTCCTGATGCCCTGCTTCAGGGCAGAACTGGACAGAATGTTTCCTGACGACAAGGAGACAGTTTTCCACCACTTGGGGAGATACCTATTCAGCCCATCCAATCAAGTTTGGGGCCACATCACCGGATTCTACGATGCTTATCTGGCGAAAGCAGATCGACGAATCGGTCTTCAGATCAGGGTTTTCAGCCTCGATAAAACCCCGGTTTCACTCATTCTGAGTCAGGTTATAAATTGCATCCAGGAAGAGTCTCGAATAATAATTCTTCCTAATACTACGACTACAACTACGACTACTGCTTCTTCGTCTGGTCGAAACAGGACGACGACGACGAATGCTATTCTTGTAGCTTCATTGTTGGGGCAATTCTACACGGAGCTGAACAAAATGTACAAGGAATGGAATGAAAAAGCGGGAGCCACGGTGGTTGGGGTTTATCGGACGAATCACGAAGAGATGCAAGTGCTTGGTAGCAGCTCACATAATATGAAGGCATTGGTGGATATATATCTGCTGAGCATGTGCGATGTGCTGGTCACTAGCCCACGGTCAACTTTTGGATACGTGGCTCATGGTCTGGCAGGGTTGACTCCATGGATTTTGCAGAGTCAGGACATTGAAGACGAGGAACAGAGGGTTAAGGAACCAGCTTGCCGACGTGGTGTTTCCAAGGAGCCATGTCTTCAGTTTCATGCTAATTATTATGACACCAACCCAGATCATCGTGAACCAGGAGGGCCTGTTCCCGTGATTATGGATTGTGAAGATTTTCAATATGGACTAAAGCTTGTAAATCGCCAGGTTTAGAGAAAGCAGAGTCCACCTAGGCTGCTTCTTCTTGTTGATGGTGTTATTTTCTTTCTTAATTTTTTTTTTTACAGTTAATGGTATATATTTGGTTCTTGAACTATGAAGGTTTTCTTATGTGGTTCATATACTATATTTTCCCCCCTAACATAGTCGTTCAAATATAAACATTTAGCTGTTGCGGTCATGTTGTTAAAAGACTCTTAGTCTTCTATTGAACGAGGACCTAATTACTCACTAGACACGCCTAATTAGGCGCTAATTTGGTAAAAAACTATGTAATTACAAAGTTACTATTGCTATTTTAATCATTTTTTCAGTTTCGACAAAAGATAGACCGATTTGTTGATTTTGATTGGAAATTGTAGGGTGAAATTTATAAAAAAAAGGAATATATATGGGTTAAAAATATGGAGGAGTATTTTTGAAATGATGAGAACTTTTTATGCGCATGAGCTGCCCGACTCAATGCCAAATAGGTCCGAATTTAACCGAGACTAAAGAAACTTTGAACATTAAGGACCAGATTAGGAAAAAAATCTAGCGTATAATTCCTTAGTGCTATAATGTGCTTTTGGATAAGGAGATCATTACTTAGCTCAACAGCAAAATTTTGGTATATAAAAGCCACAGTTTGAGTACTGTTCATTAGTGGCGCCCAAATGCTATCTTGCGACTGTCTGCCAATCGTTTCCTCTTAATTCGGCTACGTTGCCCACTGCTTCTCTCACACAAGAACCCCCTAATCCCTATTACCCCACTCGCTGCCGCGAACCTTTGGACCTAGCTTTTGTCCGTCAGATATTTCTTTGTACTCTGCAAATGGCCACTCACTTTTGCTCCTCCTCCTTTTCATACACAACCTGCTCCTTCATTGTACTTTGTCTTCTCTTTCTTGCACGATGCACGCCATCTCCAACATTGGACACTGGGAGGAGAGACTTCCTCCCCCTTTACATCCCTCTTGCCTGGCCCTCTCCTACTCACAAAACCCACTCACAACACAGGAATCACAAATGAGAGGTCCCTGAACCCCGTTGTGCGATTGCTCTTTGGGCGAATCCTAGATCCTTCTTCTCTCTCCCTCTTCGGCGAAATCCCAGGTCTCTATCTCTCTCCCCACTATTGAAGAAGACGGGAATTGTTGGAGCAGAGGAAGATGTTGAGGAGGAGACCATGGAACTGGTGGGGTTCTTCATGGAGGAGACAAGAGGGAACTTGGAACTCAGAGGAGGCCGGCATCGTCGAAAGCGAGGTCTCTTTTCTCTCTCACTCTTTTCGGCAGAAGCCTAAGTCTCGATCTCTCTCTCCCCCGCTATTGAAGAAGATAAAGGAATCGTTAGCGCAGAGGAAGAAGTTGAAGAGGAGACCATGGCGTTGGTGGAGTTCTTCATGCAGGAAGACACGAGGGAGATTTGAACTCAGCGGAGGCCGGCAACGCCAAAAACAACGCTGGGATAGACACCGCCGCCAGCTCGAGACCAGCAGTTCTTTATGGATAGGAGAAAGATGAAGAGATGAGGTCATAAAATGGACAATCGTCCGGGTACGGCGTAAAGGTAGAGGAAAAGTTTCCTAGGTGCTAGCGCAACAACAACTGTGAAGTGGGAATGAGAAACAAGACGCGACGGCGCGATTATGTTGTATTTGGTGCGGGGAGAGGTTGGAATTCTGTGGCGGCCTCGACATTGCCAAGCCGGAAATCTGTAAGTTCCAAAGAGAACCTACAAATGGCAGTGTAGTTACTGCATCTCTCCTGACTTCTGCCGACCATTAATAGAATGCATAAATCACATTCTTCTATCTCCAGTTTTATTATTGTGGTAGTGATATCTCAGAGCTAATTGCCTCTTTTCTTTTATAATTCTGGTTTTTTTTTGTGCGTGTGGGTTTGTGAAGAAGGAGAATTGAGGGGGAAAGAGAGACGCAGGAGTTGGGGAACACTCATTGCCGAGACAGAGATAGAGTAAAGAAATGAGCTTGGAGCACTGAAGAAGACCAAATTCTTTTTCATTACATCAACAAGAATGCGCATAACAGCTGGGGTACCCTTCCTAAGGATGCAGGTTCTGTTCAATAGAGGTGTTTCAGGCACTCATGCCAGGTCTGTCCCTCTTTTCTATGGTTTTCTGTTCATTTTAGGTTTAGTAAGGCATATACAAGACTCTTTAATTCTGTTGCTCAACTGGGTAAATGTAGAATGGACGAGGATAGGGGAACCAATTACAACAAGTAAACAATTTATTGTTTAGTTTTGGGATGAATGGTTACGGTCTACATCTAGATTGTATTAGGTATATATAGATTTCAATATCCTTTCGAATTATATCATTGTGATGATTTAGGAGATTGCATTGTGGAATTCATCGATAAAATCTCTCTGGTGGTTTTAAGAATGGAACTTTTCGGTGGTGTTGTTAGCTTCTTTGATTTGAACGAGGTATATGCTTGCTCTTAACTCCATTTACTTTTGTTGTATAAGTAAATACTGTCTTTCAAGCACCTATGCAACCTGGTTGGTGCTTAACCCATCAACTCCTATCGCCTCAGAACTTATAACTGCATATATGTTCTTGACTTTTTTCAAATCCTAGGAAAGAACCCTGTTTTCGGGAGAAGATTTCATCCCTGCAACCCACTTCCAACACACTTTGAAGGTTGCTACTACAACTTCCATTCACACTGCCATTTCTAATTCATATAATTTATTTAAGCGCTGGAGCCCAAAGTAGAGAGCAAGGCTCATTAGTATGCCTATGAACCCTCAAGGTATCACGATTGAAGTGGTCTTCTCTGTGTTGCAGTTTCAATACAGCTTTATATAAAGTATTATAAACAAGTGCATGTTTTGGATATATTCTCTTTTGTGCATTTGAATTTAATTATGCACTTCTACATTGTTTGCTGGAAACAAACAGTTCATTTTACAATGTTTCCTACTTGGGGTTTCAGTTTCCTCTGTAGTTTCAAAAGGGAGTTCTGTGCTGCACTTTTTTACTCAAAACCCATAGTTTCAAAGGAAGTTAGCTCATTTACGGTTTCTTGTGATTCTCCAGTCATGCGGTTATTTCCCTCAACTATTAATTACGGAAGCTATTTATCTTTGCTTGGAGGGTGAGTTTCTGGATCTCCTCTCCAGGTAACTTTCTTATTTCTGAATTGTTCTTCCATCTCATTAGGTTCTTGGTTCACCTTACGGTTTCTGTTGGTTCATCACATCCTAATTTCCTTATCCCTTGCTAATTTCTTTGTGTATAGGCGTACTTCTGAGACCACAAACATGCCCTCCTTCATGGGTTTGCACTGTAGAATATCTTAAAGAGGTAATTCCAGCAGGTAATTGTGCATTCCATTGTTTCCATCCTTTATTCTTTCATTCTCATGGATGACGATCTTACTATTATTTCTTGGTCTAGCTTTTCATAGTTTTTCTTAGACTCAAATTCCAACAATTTAGAATTTGTAAGGTTTTCTGGTAAGTATTTGGATTCGTGTTCGACGATGATAGGGTATTGATTGAGTTTGGAAGGCTATCTCTTGGTCAGCCATTTACTTTTATGTTTAGTTCGCTTGGCGGATTCCCCGAGTTTGCTTGTGTTTATCCTTGATACTTTTACCATATAGCTTGCACCTGTAACTCAAATTAGATCTAATCCTCTCTCAATTTATATTTCCTGCTTTTGTTGCAGAGTCTTCTCGATGGCAACTGCAGAATGGAACCAGCCTTATAGAGTGGGGGATGAAATGAAAAGCTGTCACTTTATTGTTCAGAGGTGTTATTCAACTACTGAACTTGCCACTTCCTACTCACTGTTGAATCTGCAGAGTAACTATCAGCACCCACCCAAACTAGAAAACCCGAGGGTAAGAAGAAAGAAGGAGTTAAATGATTAACAAACAATAGGATTGAAGAGAGGACATTGGTATTTTTTCAGGTTGACCAAGTTCAAAGCCTTGGAATCACTCTGTTTACATTGTCATGTATCTCTCATTGCCTTATGAAATGCCTTTTGTTGGTTTAGTAATGCTGCTGGTTTTATGTACATGGATCCATGGTTGTATTGACTTTTGCTCTTCTCCTTTATGATTAGTATCAGTATGTGCAAGCACAGCTTCTTTGTGTTTTTCTTTTCAGTTTTCCCATCCCACTCTTTATAGATCAAATTGCCTTAATTGCTTAAAAAATGGCCCTGAAAATTATTATGTATTTCTAGGAGTCCAACACTAGAAGCATCATGCATCCGGCCTCCTGCTCTATCCTTGATTGCTTTAATCTTATATCACTACGGGAAAAGTGGCATTTGGCAACACTATGCCTGCAACACTTATTAAATGTGTTGCTTAAGATTAACAGTGGCAACACTTCTTTAAAGTGTTATTTAAAAGGTACTTTATGCAACATAAGTAAGTCGTGACTTGAATTGTGTTGCATTTGTTATATCATAAGCAACATTTATATCATAAATTATGTAATGTTACCTATTTGTACATCTTAAGCAACACTTTAGAAAATAATGATGGAAAAGTAACTATTTGACAATTAAATATACTTTACTAATCCCAATAATCAAACAAACTAATTGTATATACACCTTACATACCTGCATGCTTATATTTTTAGGTGTGTCTTATGTTGTAGGTATTTGTAATGTAAATTAAAGAATGAAACAAAAGTTTTAAGGAAGTCGCTCGCATTTGGCATTCCCTATTAAAACTTTTATTAGTGGACAGTTAATTAACAAACGAAAAGAAAATGTAACAGAACATCAACTCTAGGCAGCTAGATTACCCTCACTAAGTTGTCCAATTCCATGAAAGAAAAGGTCGAACTCCGTGTGTATATTAAACAAATTTTAAATAGTGGTAAAATTGGGATTTATAGTGGGGCTAGAAATAAAAATTACTAGGATCCTGTTAATTTTCGTTGTTTTATTTATACACAAATTATAATCAAAGATCAAATTTAGAGGAAGAGGGTATAGGTCACCCTGAACTACACATAGCCCCATCACTAATTATAAATAATATTGTCCTTTTTGTTCACTTTTCTTAATTTGTATTTAACTCCATAATAAGACAATTGAATAGTAGTAACTAGTAAGGGTCTCTGGGGGAAAGTTTAAACTAATTGTCCAAGGGTTATATATGGCCCTTATATCTTCACTCCCGTACCCAATTTTACTTTCATCTTTTTCCTCATTAGGGTTTTCATTAAGTTTATGCGCCACTCCAATCTAGCGCCGCCGCCATTCACACCCTAGGCGATCTGGAGGCAACATCCATTGATTCAACATGAGCTCTTCATCCTGCCTGGTACTTCCGTTGCTCTGCTTGCTTCCAACTGCTGCATGGGGTTTATATAGTTTTCTCGCCGCTAGACGTATGTAATTCGGCGGTCAAGTGGAAGATCAACGGAGGGTAGATTCACTTAAAAAAAAGGGTGGATGTACAATTAGCTTCTGCTGAGGGTGGATGTTGATGGCAATGAAGTTGCAGTAGCTCGTTTCTACGCCATGATATCTCGCTATCTGACTCCCTCCAAGTCTAGCAACAACAGCTCGATGTGGACCGCCATACTACCATGTAAGCCAACGGAGTTCCTAAATTTTCCTTGACTATGATTTGAAAATTTTCCCATTTTTATGATTAATAAGACTACTAGTTAATTTCTTTTATGGTTACGAGGATAGGTGTAAGAAGCAAACTCTGAAGATGGTTGAAGTAATCGAGAAAGGACTGCATAAGTGGGGCAAGATTGGGAAATCAAACTAGACGTGGATAAGAAGGTGAAATCATTACTTTGATGTCCTGGTTCATTCTAAGCTTTGAATTATATGGCGCACAACATAGATGAAGGGGTACACCAACAGCTACTCCAAGTTAACAGGAGGGGAACAATTCGATGACAATATATAGCACGCCTACAAGTAAAGCATGAAGAAGATATGAGATTATGTTCTGCCGATTGGTCGAAGAAAAAGTTTATTTTGATTTCTTAAAGCTATTTAGTTTATATTGACACTGGAGTTGAGGATTATTTTTTTTTCTTCAATGTATTGTCACAAATGAATTCCATCTATGAAGTATGTAACTGCCACGATTGTTATACATTAGTATCCTTATTATTGGTAGCTAATATTAGTTCTATATATGACAATTAGTCACGAAAGAATTCATTCGTGATAAATATTTATCATAGTTGGGTTCCTTTATGAGTGTAGCTCTTCTCGCCAATAGAAATAGATGTGATAACCTTTTTGTCACAAACAATATACGTATCGGAATGATTTGTCACAAAAACATGGCATTGTGAGAAGAGTAAAGTCACAAAAGCTTGCTTCTGTGGCAAAACACCGTCTAAAATGTGACACATTTGTGACAACTGAATATGGTGACAGTTGAAATACGTCTGGTTTTGACACGCTCTCATCACAAATGTATAGTACTTGTTACAAAATAAATTCGTCACAATTGAATATGTCATATGTGACAACAAGATTCATCACGGATAAAGAATATACATGTTGCTTATACTTATTAAAAAGTGTTGAATAAAATTTTCAAGTTGTTGCCTAAAAGGGTGTTGCATATAAGATATGCATATGCAACATATTTTGTTGTTGTTGCATAAAGAAGAAAAAGTGTTGTCTATTACATTATACAACACCACCTATAGAGGACACTACTAAAAGTGTTGCATATCGCTTATGTAACACTTTCGACACATCATGCAACACATTTCAGGGGTTGCCAAATCTCACTTTTCCCGTAGTGTATGTAGCTCCGATGCACTACTTTAATATATGCCGCCTGCAGAACCATTATTATTTACTTTGATAAACCAAATTGTCTTTTGTTAGTGTCAAAAAGTCCTTTGATTTACCACTTTGGTGGTGGTCTGTGTATTGATATCACTTATTGTCCGTATTCCCTAAGTTATGCCATGCTCAATGAACCTGTGGAGTTCATTGAACCAATACTATGTTTCGTGGTTATTTGTAGATTAATGAACTACAGTAATGTTTGCTATTTCTATTTTTTTGGCGTAGTTTATTGAAACATACAGTCTTGATCATTGCAAGTATAGATTTTGTGTTCCTACTGCTTCTTTAATTGTCACTTGCTGTAATGATTGCAAAGATTGTATAGGATTGCTACTTGGTTACCGATCTTGGACAACATCCGTTTCTCCTCAATCTCAGTCTCTATTGTTTTTATGAGTTGATTTATTGTCAATTGCAGATTTCCACATTTCCAATACAAAAACCGTAAACTCCGCTATAATGAGGGGAGTTTGCATATCATCCAGGTCCATCAATGTCAAGAGAAGGTAATTACCAGTCTTATCTGGATTTGGTAGGGTTAAATATATTTAACTTTTACATATCTCTGCGTTATTGGTGCCATTGTAACTGGTGGGGAAGAGTTAAATACTGACTTCTTTCCATTAATTTATTGTGTATCCAAGAGCGGGTGTTGTTGAGAGGAGTGCCTCATCCAGGGATTTGAGTTACAGTAGAGAGCCTATATCAGTATATTATGAAGTACCATGATGTGAGACTCACTTTTTTAGGGTGGTTAGAGAAGTTCTATTGCTTGACTTGATATTCTATTCTTCTCCCAAATGATACTTGCTCCACTTGCTATGCAAACACAAGGCATGCCAACAAGATGAAAGGTATACACGTACCAAAGCAAACATATAGACAGTTATCGACGCGATAGGCTAATACTAACTATTATATTTACCCGTAATCAGTTACTTCTCAGTGGACGATGCTGATGAAACATATCGGGACACATTCCTCATGAGTCATGAGGCAGCTGCAGCTTTGCTTCAAACAAGCCCTCGACGGGACGTCGAAACACCCGATGTGAAATACTTACCTAGACGGTGGAACATTAGTGCACGCTTTGAAGTTGTTTTGATTTGGCAATGTCATGCTGCTATATCTACTGAGAAATGCGCTAAACCAGCAAACCAGGTTCTCCACTTCGGAACCAAACATATCCATATCGATTGATGTTGCCATAATGTAACCAGAAAGCTAGATTGTGATTAGACATACTGTCCTATTTGCTTCAATATCCTGCAATTACAAACTATTCAAAGTCTCCTGTAACTGATTGATCGATACCATCTCATTCAACCAACTCTTCCAAATTACTTTCACTTTTGAATTATCATTTACGCTTTAATTTAATTTGTCTTACTAATCAATAGGCGTAGAATGATTCATCATTACTGGATTTAGTCGTATATTATGTTTCGTACATGTTGATATTAAGTTTTTGCTTATACGCGAAGCGTAACGAGCGGGTCCTTGCTAGTATATATATATATGAAGATGGTTTCTATTGAGTTCATATTATCGTAATGAAGTTGAGAGATGCGTGTAATGAACTTCACGAAAACATCCATCTACCAACTGATAATATTGTCACGTAAACCAATTTCATTGATGCCACATTGAATCAACAGTAACCCCTGCATGCATTCAAGTTCTTTAATTTGCACAACCAAAATGAGAAGCAAATTAAGTTCGATCAAATTTCTTACGTGCTGGCTCTCGCTTCTCCAAGTGATAATTCTCAAGTTATAAAATGCCTGAATTTGATCTAGATGAGTCTATATCAGAAGAGAAATTAGAAGAAGCTAAGCTAGTCAAAATTGGTATCGAAAGATGAAGATCAAGTTGAATAGCTGGCTGGCCAAACAGCATGAACAGAAGAAGTCGGCTGCGGCGGCGGCCAACAGCGTCAGCAGACGAGAAATGTTCACTTGGTTCCTTATCTTCTTCAGCTTCTACACCATGTGTCGAGAATGGGATACTCTCCCTTCCTGTAATGATCACTTACTCTGTCCATCCCTCTTTTCTGTACCATTTCCAGTCTTTTTGCTAGGTGTCACAATGTTTATATCTTGATTTGTTTTTGATTGTGTTGATTGTCGCAGTGCATATAATGTGGTCTCCTGGAGTACTAATTGATATGGGTAAGAAGAGCGAGTACATGAGTATTGTATCAAAGTAATTTGGTCTATAAATAGCTAAACTATAACTGATGAACTCTACGTCGTGGATTATAGCCAATGCAGACCAAGAAATCGTGAGAAATCGAAAGATTTCCGGTACCGTAAATTCTACAAGTGCCTCAATGTTGGACGAATCGAATAGTGAGTAACTCTGGTCAGACATTTCTTCATTATAAAGCAATTCTCGTGAGGGCTCTTTATTTGTTACCGGAAAAAATATATTACTTTATGGCATGGTTGGCATGCCGGTGACATGTCGATCGGTTGAAAACTGGTTCAACTGGTGTTGGTCATAAAATCGGTATAAATATTACTGGTACGACCTGCATGATCGATTTACGAATTCAAAGTAAAATGACATCGTTTTAGTAAATTTGATTGATTACAAAATAAATTTATTTTATATTTTATGAATATAAAAGTTAAAAATTGGTGTAATTTGTTGAATTTAGGTATAAACATTTAGATATTGGCGTTAAATGTTGTATTTAAATATGAGTACTTTTTATTTTTTTTGGAATGTCGTATTTTATTAAGTCACCATGAACCGACACAAACCGATCGTACCATTTCACTTGCTAAACCTGCCGAACAGTATAGACGGGTTTGACAACCTTATTTATAGCCTTGTTCACTCCTACATATGCACTCACCTCATTTTCCATGCAGATGCTAGGACGTTGCAACCAAACAACAAAATAAAATGCAACAAGGGTGAAGCATCAGACTTATGCAACATGGTAGGGGACATTAGGATCGACCCTGATGCAACAACTGTTTACTACGTTATCCCACCAAAGACAGACGTAATCCTCATCGCCGGCGACGACACCGACAACACTACTACTACTACAACATCGTCGTCATGGACCATAAAGCCTTACGCAAGAACCGACGATGCGTCGGCCATGGCGCTAGTATCAGAATGGTCAGTCAAAATGGTGTCGCCAGCTGGAAACGATCACCAACATTTGCCAAACTGTACTCATGTTCATGATCCCCCTGGAGTCTTCTTTTCTCTCGGAGGATATTCTGGAAACCATTATCATGGTTTCACCGATGTTCTCATCCCACTCTTCGTCACATCTCGCCCTTTCGACCGCCAAGTCGAGCTCTTGGTAATCGACAGCCAGCCTTGGATGGTGAACAAGGTCAAAAAGATAATGCAAGCCCTATCGAGGTTCGCACTTTTTCCTCACGACTATTTCTCTGCAGATCAGGAATAGGAGTATTGGACAAATGATAATAAAAAAAAACTAAAACACAATAGCACACAATTTACGTGGTTCACTAACACAATATGTGTTAGCTAATGCACGACAGAAGAGAACTAATTTCACTATATTTCAAGGAAATACAAATTACAAAGAACCTCGTGGCATCATCGTAGCGTCAGATAGTCCGATTCAAATCATATCAACACTTTTTTCTTATTTACGCATTAATTGGGGTTTTCCTCCAAACGTAAATTTTCCATTTTTTGTTCAGGTACGACGAGGTAGATATCGACAGGTCATCAAAACAAGATGGCAAAATCCACTGCTTCTCCAGGCTAGTAATGGGTCTAAAAGGCCGGGGGAAAAAAGAGTTAGGTATCAGCCCGTTAGAGACCGATTACACGATGAAAGACTTCAGACAGTTCCTGAGAAGTGCCTACTCATTGAGCAAGACAACAGCAATCAAGTTGCGAACCGACGATGACGACGAGGGGGACAAGAAGAATCTAATGATGAACAATCCTCAACTCCTCATCATTTCCCGGAAGGGTTCTCGAGCTTTCACCAACGTGAATGAGATAGCGGGAATGGCTACCAAACTAGGGTACGACGTAAAAGTGGTGGAACCTGACGACAAGACCATGTCGCAGTCGGCAGAGATGATGAATTCTTGTGACGTGGTGGTGGGAGTTCACGGTGCCGGGTTGACTAACATGGTGTTCCTCCCGGACAATGCGGTCGTGGTCCAGGTGATTCCGCTGGCTTTGGATTGGTCGGCAAAGATATACTACGAGGAGCCGACGAAGGAGATGAATTTGAGGTATCTACAGTACAAGATTAAGAAAGAAGAGAGCAGTTTGATGGGGCGATACTCGCCTGATCATGTGGTGTTTACTACACCTTGGTCGTTCAAGTGGGAGGAGTTCAGGTCCATTTACATGCAGAACCAAAATGTGACAGTGGACCTTAGAAGGTTCAGACCAACGTTGGTGAAAGCTCTAGAACTTTTGCATCATTGATCTCTATAGGTTCAATGCGTTCATAAAAAAGAAAAATCTCCAGTTTCAAACAGAGTTTTCTGCCCAAAGGGTGAGCACAAATGAGTTTTCTTTCTATATGAATGGTGTATTGCACTTGTATCTCTCCAAGGAAATAAAACTGTAAACCTCTTCCAGTGTTACCCCGGAGATGAATGCAAGCCTAACTACGGAGGTCTTCCCTGATGAGATCCGTAGAACGGTCTTTGCTATGAGTTCAAAGAAGGTGTCGGGACTTGATGGTTTCACGGGTAAATTCTTTAAAGCCTATTGGGAGATTGTTGGGGACTCAATTATTGCAGCGGTCTGCTCGTTCTTTGAAACAAGTAGGATGCTTCGTAGCTTCAATCACACCTGACTAACGTTGATCCCAAAAGTGGACAAGGTGGAATCCATGCGGCAACTTCGCCCCATTAGTATATACCAATTTGTGTACAAAGTGATCACCAAAATTATGGCGGAGAGCCTTGCGAGACTGCTGCCCCTAATCATCCCGGAAGGCAAAATGCCTTTATCCGTGAAAGACAGATTGTGGAAAATATCCTCCTTGGGCATGAGTTAATGCACTATTTGAAAATCAAAACCCGTGGAAAGAAGGGATACATGGCTCTAAAGGTTGACATGGAAAAGTCCTATGATAGAGTTGAATGGTCATTTGTTCTCGCGGTTTTGGAAAAGATAGGTTTTAACTCTGTCTGGAGAGGATAGGTGCAGGAATGTTTACAATCAGCAACGTTCTCGGTTCTCATGAACGGTTCTCCTTCTGGTTTCTTTGCGCCTTCCAGGGGTCTCCGTCAGGGGGATCCTCTTTCTCCTCTGCTCTTTGTGCTTTGTACGGAGGGGTTCGCAGCCCTACTTCGCAAGGCCATTTCCGATAAGAGGCTAGAGGGGTCAAAGTAGCTCTGCGGGCTCCCCGGATATCTCATTTGTTCTTTCCTGATGATTCTTATTTATTCCTCCTTGGATCTCTCCAGGATTGTGAGAATCTGATAGAAGTTCTTAATGAATATGAGGAGCTTAGTGGCCAAAAAGTAAATCTGGATAAATCGGCTATTTGTTTCAGTAAGAACATCTCCTTGCAGGATCAGGAGTTCTTGGCTGGAATTCTTGGGGTGGGTGTTGTGGGGGTCCATAATAAATATCTTGGCCTCCCTACCTTGATAGCTCGGTCCAAAATGGCAACATTCCGCTATTTGGAGGAAAAACTTTTAGAACGCCTACAGGGTTGGAAAAGAAGGACTTTGTATTGGGCGGCTAAAGAGACATTGATTAAGTCTGTTGCTTTGGCTCTGCCGCTATATGTTATGTCCTGCTTTAGGCTTCCTCTGTCTCTTTGTCGCCTCCTGGACAAGCATGTGGCTAGATTTTGGTGGGGGTGTAGAGGATGGTCATTCTAGGATTCGATGGGTTTCCTGGCGAAATTTGTGCCGAAGCAAACATGAAGGGGGGATGGGCTTTCATCGTTTCAAACAGTTTAATTAAGCTTTGTTGGCTAAAATTGGATGGCGAATCCTGAATGAACCTCAGTCCCTCTTAGCCCAGGTTTACAAAGGGAAGTACTGTCTCAAGGGATCCTTCTTCTCGGCTACAGCTCGGTCCCGCCCGTCTTGGGGATGGCAGAGCATACTTTTTGGACGCCAATTGTTAACTAAGGGGTTACGGTGGCAGATTGGTAATGGTCAGACGGCTCCTTTGCTTAATTTGAACTAGGTCCCACGGCAACATCCTCTCCCCCTAGTGTATAACCCACGGGTCCTTCCTGAGGGATGGGATGTGAAGGTATCTGCAGTTCTGTCCCCGGGAGAAGGACGCTGGTGTGATAGTAAGCTTAGTCAGTGGTTTGATCCCCAAACATGTTAGGCGATTAAGGCTATGCCCCTTCCGAGGAAAAATATTAAGGATCGTTTAGTCTGGCATGCCACTGCAGATGGTGTATTCACTGTGAAATTGGCTTATCACTTTGCGGTCTGCCTAGATCAACAGAATGGCCGTTGGCGGGCCTAGGCTAGCTGGATGGATAAGCCTAGTTGGATCCGGTTGTGGGAGGCTAACATTCCTACGAAGTTGAAGGTGTTTGTCTGGCAAATCTTTAATAGAATTATGCCGACGAATGAAGCGCTTATTGAGCAAAAGTTTGTGGTTCTTCCTCGTTGCCCTGCTTGATGGGCTGCTTCGGAGACAATGGAACATTTGTTCATTGACTATCCTGTGGCCAGGGCGCTTTTGGCTCAGTCTGGATTAGATTATCTTGGCAAAGGTTTGCCTCGACATACGTTCCCTCTCTTCCTGAAAAAGTTGTTGTATATTATACACCAACCTTTGCATTTCATGGCGGTGGTTGTTGTCCTTTGGAGGATTTGGAGATCTCGGAACTGGGTTTTCTTTGAAGGTAAACATTTCGGGATTTCCGCCTTAATGAGGCAGTATAACCAGCAGGTAGGGGAATGGCTCCGCTTGCCAAGTGATCCTTAACCTCTCTCACTATCTACTCAGATGACCCCTTCGGTGGAGTTGGGTGGGTCGGGGGGGGGGGGGGGGGGGGGGGGGGGGGGTCTGTGTGTCGATAGGATGGGGAAGTTCGCAGGGGGTTTCACTCCGCAGGGGGGATGGTTATCCTAAGTGAGGAGAGGGTGATCCTCTGGGCTGCGGGGGTCCAGTTCCCTTTGATTGATGATCCAATGGTGGTGGAGTTACTTGCCCTCCGTGAGGTTGTCCGCTGGTGTTCGAAGCAGGATTTTTCGGTAATGCGATTTGAAGGTGATGTGCGGGATAGTCGTGTGGGGACTATTTTGGAGGAGATTGTGCAGATTTTTGCGTTGAATTCGGGCTTCAGTGTGTGATTTGTAGGTCGGGGTACCAATAGGGTAGCTCATTTGGTAGCTAGATAGGCCTTGTCTTTGTTCCCTCCTACTTGTCGCTATTTTGATTTTTAGACCTGGTTGAATTCCAACTATCTATCGTTCCAATCAATATAAGATTATCTTTTGTAAAAAAAAATGTAGGTTGTGAAAAGCTATATCAAACATTTTTTTAATGGTTAATAAAAAATTTCATATAATACGGGAGTATGCACCAACATAAAACCCCTCTCAAGTGTCTTTCATCACAACTTACTAAGCCAAACCGGATAAACTAACAACAAACCCTACAATACTCCCAAAACTTGCATTCGTCCTCCAACTTATTGGTTTCCTTCAGCAAACAACATGCATTCTAGATAAACTCGAGAGTTTGCTCAGGTGAATTACAACCTCTCGATCCATAGATCCGAGCGCACCTCTTGATAACACCTAAATAGGATTATCCCGTATTCTTAAGGCATTTTCATGTTAAATTGTCGTGTTTAGGTCACATATCAAGTTATTTATGCATATTTTCGTTCGTATTTGTAAAACATCCGTTTTGGCATAGGTATTCTTGATATGAAGGTTTCCTAGGGGCAGTGACCCTACTTTGTCGTATTTTATGTTTTTCCAAGTGTTTGTGATGCAATTTCAGGTCTTATATGCATTTGGGATTGATCGGGAATCAATTGGAGTTCATTTGAGCACGATTAGAAAGCATAGGAGCAAGAAGGGGAGAAGAGGCACTGGTCACGGCCACACGTCATGGTCATGGCCACCAGGCAATGACCATGTTCGCGGGCTGAAGATCACGGTCGTGAATAGTAGCCGTGAACTTCACCAGACGATCAAGAAGGCAGAAATTTTCTACAGTCAAATCATGGACATGGTGCATTTTGACCGCGAAAAAGATCATGCCCTGGACACAAAGATCACGGTCGCGATCTTGGAGCTTAAGGACAGAGTCAAAACATGTCATTTCGGGCGATTCAAAGACGTTTCAGCTGGTCACGGCTAGGTCACGATCATGACCATCGCATCACAACCTGGAGGCCTTGAGCGCCATCAGCTTTCTACAATAGACCTCTTGCTGCACTTTTCAAGGGGGGGCCGACCTAGAGAGAGAAAGTTAGGGTTATTGGTTGTTTTTAGAAAGGGAAACACCTTGGGAGAGCTGAATTGAAGATCCAATCCACCCAAGGAGAGCGAAGAGTTGCTGTCGGATTATCCATTCCTGTCTTCGCTGTAAGGGAGGGCAGAAGGGCCCCGCTGAGAGAGTACGGAGGAAAAGAATTGCTGAATTGTCGGTGACGGCGATGGGTCTGCAGGTGTGGGCGCCATCTACTATTTTCGATTGGTGGCGATGACGAGAAGGAGGAGGAATAGTGAAGAGGGGAAGAGACGGTCGACCGAAATAGTTCACCGTCAGGAGCCAGGTGTCGAGCGTGGGTGCCAGGCGACATAGTTCACCCGCGAGAGTCGGGTTTCTTCCGTGATTGCAAGTCAAGGATCCGGGCAGAAGGAGGAGAGAATATTTCCCAATCAGGAGGCGGATGTCGGGTGCAATCATGGGCCAAGGTGTAGTAGTACTTGGTGGTTGCCGAGAGCCGAGAGTCGAGTTGAAGGAGGAATCTTTTGAAACTTTATTTATAGTGTTTATCACTCTCAGATTTGGTACATTGTTTCCCTTCTATCAATGCATCTTTAGTGATTTTGATTATATTCCATATGAAATTCGTAATTATTTGGATATGTGCTTATGACCTTAAGTGTGTTTTTTAACTATTTGATGCCTTTTTGGAATTGGTTTGTGTTTTAAAGATACCACTCAAGACATGGATCACCAAGGGACCCAACGGATCAGAGTAGGACAAGAATACAAGCTTATGGCTCAAACAGAGATTGATTTGGACATCAGCTACTCGCTTTATGGCTAAAACAAACAAATATAGTAGTGTAGGATGCGCAACATTGACCAAGGTCTATTCGAAGTTATAAAAGTCAAGATTCCAAATTTGCAGGAGAGGTTTCTTGTGTGCCAAGCAACCCAATCCAGTTGGAAAATGAGTTGCGCCCCCAACCGCCTCACACCTTTGCTAAATCATAATCCTCCGGAAGCTTCCAGAATCTGCCTCCTTCATTCCGAAGTCAAAGAAATTCAAGTTTAAATCATACAATGAAGGTTTTGGCCCACTTTAGGAGGAAAAAGACTAGAAAACCCTATTTTTTAACTAGTATAAATAGAATGCTAGACTAGATCTTTTATACAACACCTTTACCAACACTCTATCTTAGGGGCAAGAGTAGCAATCCATAGAGAGGAGGAGAATTGCTACTGAAATTCAACAGAGTGTCATTCACCAATCACCATCAATGCATGTATCTATGGTGATGTTGTTCCACTCATCTTTATGTTGCTAGTATATCTGTTTATGAATGTGAATTCTAATGGTGTTTATGCATTACTTTCTAAGAGTTAATATGATGCTTATCTCATTTTATGTTATGATCATCGATGCATATGCCTTTAGATGCTTTATTGTGTTCACGATGCTTTGATCATCTCTTGTGCATGACCCTCGATGCTTTAAATCATCATATGCATTGTTTACACTACTATCATGAGAGATAAGCTAGGAAACTAGTCTCGTGTAGTATGCATCGTTCTTAGGTGTGTTTAGGAGGACTAGTGATGACTTGATATATACACATGTTTTTGTCCACCATTCTTACACTGTTTGAGTCTTATTTCTCATGTTTTAGGCCAATTTCACGCTAGGTTGTTCTTGTTTGTGATATTTCAGGTCCTAGTATGTGAATGAAGGTTTGGGAACGAGTTCGGGGCCGATTGGACGAAGATTGGACGTTTGGCAAGAAGCTGAGGAAGCACACGGCCAAGCCACACTGGCCGTGTAGGGGACCCCTTGTGGCCGTGTGGAAAGTCCAGGGAGCTCACACGGGTAGCCTGGACATCCACACGGCCGTGTGGTTTTGGTCGTGTAGCATACCTGAAGCCACTTAAGTGAAACGCGGCGTTTTGCACACTCACACGGGCAGCTGGGAAAGCCACACGACCGTGTGGCCTGGCCGTGTGGTCGGGAATTTCTGGGTTTTAACCCAAATTCGAGCCAAAGGATAGGGGAATCGACTTTTTGGAGCGAAAACAGTGTTTTAGAGAGAGAAAGTGCAAAGAACAAACCCTAGGAT